TCTCTCTCTCTCTCTCTCTCTCTTTCTCTTTCTACTAGTCCACATTCAGCTATGGAGTATAAATCACCACCAAACTGCACTCATCTTAGCAGGGTCAGAACTTAAATGTTTTAAGCAACAGCTCCTTTCTAAGTAATTAGAGAGCCCATCCCAAGATATCTGAATTCAATAAAGCTTTGTGAATACAACACTGGGTATGTTCTAGAGTTTGTATAGTCTGTCAGCTTAGGTTTTGAATGCAGGGGCAGCAAGACTTTCTTTCTTAAAAAGATGAACTAATTTTTATTTTCATACCTCTAATATGGTTCCACATGTTATTTCAGAGACATGAAAAAAAGAAATTTAGTTTAAACCAAATAAAAATGGCAACTGAAAAATTATTATGATTCAAACACTTTAATTTGTTGTCAAATAAATCAAGGAAGAAGATGAATTTTTCTCTCTATTGAAGCCACATGATAAGATTTCTTTAATTACCTAAATTACAAAACATAAAATTCATAAGTTTATTTAAATAATACATCAAATAGTAAGAATATGAAATACATATACTTTATTCATGACTTAGACCATTTGATTTTCACAAATAGTTGGATATATCTTAGTATTTAATAATTATGAATTTGGGTTTTTTTAAAGATTTTATTGGGGAATTTGGGAAGGGGAACAGTGTTCAGGGATTGGGGATGGGGAACAGCCAAGTTGTTGACCTTCAATCTTAGGTGTGGAGGGCACAGCTAGCTCAGCTCCAAGTCCAATCACCATATGGCTGCCCATCAGCAGCTCGCAGTCTCTCGGCTCAAGGTGCCATGTTCAATTTTAGTTGCAGGTGGGTGTAGCCCACCATTCAATGCGGGAGTCAAACCAGCAACCTTATTGTTAGAAGCACATGTTCTCACCAGCTGAGCCATCCTGCCACCTGTTAGCAGCTCAGCTCGGGCGCAGCTCGCTGGCCCATTTGGGAATCGAACCGGTGACCCTGTTGCTCAAAGTTTGTGCTCTTATCCAACTGAGCCACATTGCCAACCTTAATTACCAATTTTTTATGTATGGTAAAATTTTCTACGAGTTTAATAACCATTTACAAAAACCTGAATTTTATGCTAGTCATGTAATTTGTTAAAGCACCTTATGTCAGTTTTATAATAAATATTTATGGTACAAGTAATAATGAGATAATATGTTGAAAAGTCCACTTAATGTTTAACAATCAAATTGAAAGTGTCCAGCTTAATTATAAATTATTTTCAATTTCTCCCAAAGGAATCTGTGTGAGTAAACATTCATGTATGTCTACTCTCTAACTAAATACACTAGAATTCTGACAATCACAGAAGCCTCAGCACTCTATCATTTTTGCATCATTACAGATGTTGTAACACTTGCATCTGTCCCCAAACTACTCTGAAACATGCCACAGTCACAGAAGAGGGAGAGACAACTTCACAAAGAAATGAAGGAAGGACTCACATTAAAACTGAAGTTTTAGGAAGATCGTATAAGGTAAACAGGACTTGGAAATACAAAGCTGTGGTTACTACAGAGTTACAATTGGAAAACAGACCTGCCTTATATCAAGTCCCACTTAAGACAGAAATAGCTCAACAAACATATTCTCTCTTCTCACACATTTGAATAAAATATAACTTACATATTAAAAAGTATTAAAACATAAACTTTGATAAGCATCAGATCCAACACCCATGCAACTACCAACTTTGTCAAAAATTACAAAATTCCAGGATCACCAACATCTATCTTCATTTAAATTTCCAGGTAGCATCCTCTTTCTCCTTACATATATTACCACCACCTAGACCTCCGACATTATCTTGACATCTAATGTGTACTATTGTGTTGTCGGAAAGGTTATGATATATTTTTTCTATGTTTTTCATTGCAAAAATGAGTCATGACTTTTCCAACAACCCAATATTGTTAGTTCTGCCTGTTTTTCAAATTCATGTAACCAGAACAATGTAACACAAATTCTTTTGTGTTTAGCTTAGTCTCCTCAATTTCTTATGATAGTCATCCAAGAACACCTCTCCATCTTAATGACGATGACTAGGCTAGATGTAAATTACTGTGGCTGGTGGATAAGACACACAGATTGATTGAAATTAGTTGGGGCCCAGTTTGGATACTAAAGTGGGCTCAACTTCACTGACAACAAAGGGATCATAATGACTATTAAATAAAGAAAATTTTTATACATGGAATTGCTAGGAGGATGAACTTTGGGCAATTGTCGACTCCTTTCAATAATATTTTTGTTTTGTTTCATTTTTTTCTTAAGACGGATCTTTGTGAATGAGTCTATCACTAGGCCCATAACTTAGTAACATAAAACAATAAACATGGGGTCGGATGAGTGGCTCATTGGCTAAGAGTTGGCTTGGAAGTGGGAGCTTTGAGCAGCAGGGCCACCTGTTCGGGTCTCACGTGGGCCAGTGATGCTGCACCTTCTACAGCTAAGATGGTGAACAACAGCTTGACCTGGAGCTGGGGAGCCGTGAGGGGCCGGGGATGGCATAGGCTGCTGTGGGGCTTCAGTGGGTTGCCATAAGCTACTGTGAGTGGCCGTCCAATGGCCGGCAACCAAGCTGCCTCAGCCGGGAAGAGAGCAATGATCACAATATCAACATGGACCAGTGAAGCAACGTCCTCCACAACTAGACTGAAGAACAAAAAGGACAGCAACCTGTCTGTTCCCCTTCCCTGATTCCCCAATGCTGTTCCATCCTCTAACCCCCCAATAAAATCTTTAAAATAATAATAATAATAATAATAATAATAATATATTATATCACACAGCTCTGAGGATTAGGAATCTTTGAAAAACTTAGGAGGAAGGATGCAACTCAGCTTCTCTCATGAGGTTGCTGTCAAAATAATGGCTGGTGCAATGTAGTCATCTGAAGGCTTGACTAGGGTGGGACATTCATCTTGCAAGAAAGGCTCATTTTGGAGCTGTTGGAAATAGACTTGATTTCATTGCTATTAATAATTGTTGATAAGGTATTAAGAGACTTTAATACCTTATCACATGATCCTTTCAACAGGGCTGCTCATGGTACGATAGTTGGCTTCCCCAGATCAAGTGATCCAAAGGAAGAAAAGAGGGAGAAGCCACACTGTCCTTTATAAACTAGACTCAGAAGTGGCATGCTATCATTTCCACTGTATTCCACTGTTCACACAGATCAACCCTGATTCAGTGTGGAAGGAAATCATGCAAAGGCATGTGCACCAGAAAGTGGGGATCATGGGGGACATCTTGCAGGTTGACTATAACAACTGCTTTATGGATTTTCACCTTTTATAGTGAGCACAGACTGATAAAGTAAGACACAACTGTAACATTTCTAAGTCCAATTACAACAATTAGATGCAAGCCAAAATAGGATAAACCAAGTGGAGAGTAGGGTTGGTGCCTCCATAGTCTCATTATTCACACTATTATTTTGTTATATTGTGTGTTTCTTGGACTAGTCCTTACCCTTTACATTCAACATTGAATAGTCGCTCAAGTAGACCTTTCCTAATGCATTAGCCCATTTCACAGCAAAAAACAAAGAGCAAAAGAAAAAAATTAATGTGTCTTTCTCCAGATAATAAAATCTCATTTCAGAGGGAATTTTTTTTGGGGGGGGGAATCCTTTGCATAAAAGAAGTCTTTCCCACCCTAAAGGCTACTATTATATTATCAGGGTAAAGGAAAGCAGAATGCAGGTAAGAGTGGGGGAAAGACTAAGCAAAATGTACAGGTCAGATGGTCCTGCACTGAATATCAACAGCATGATAAGACCATGCTGTGAGAAAGTCACTCTGCCGTGCGTGACCACATCTTACATTCAACACAGGACTTGACATCATAATTCCCTGAAATGATGTGGGAGCTTGAACAAACCTCTCAGTTGTAATTAGGAGACAATGGGAATTTTGTTCTCTCAGGGAGGACAATTTTGACCTAGATTATTCTCTGAAATCACACATCATCCACTGTATTTATCACCTTCTGTTTACTTATTGTCTTGGAACGGTAATGAATGTTTATGAGTTCTCAGAAAAAACATAGGTTTGGCTCTGGACACTTCATGGGTGATGATGTGAAAAGTGATCATTTGAACCTGTGCTTGGATTTGGCTAAATGAAAAGAGTTGACACTCATCCTGAAAAAATATTATGAAAATGGACCATCTTTGGTTCATTATAGAGAAAATCGCTCTAAGCTGGAAAACAAACAAACAAACAAAAAACAAAAATGAAATTGCCTCATTGGAGGAAATCAGGGAGATGGGATAGTTGGGACAGAACACTATTTATTTCCATTATCAGCATATCTATACCAATTTAAATTTGAAACTAAAAATATATTATTGTGAAATCACATGGACAATAAATATATATATGAAATATACATTAAGTACAATGCATTTTCTCTTAGACCAAGTTAAAAATATTCAGCCCTGGCCGGCCAAGTGGCGCAATGGTTAAGAACTGACTTGGGACCCCAGAGGGCCCCAGTTCGGATCCCACATATGAGGGTCAGTGACACTGCCCTCTACAGCTAAGATGCTGAACAACAGCTCAACCTGGAGCTGGGCTGCCGTGAGTCGCTGGCGACTGTGTAGGAAAAAAATATATATATATATTCAGCCCTTTTTTCCCCCTCACCAGCATTTTCCTTTAATGTATTTTCCTGAGTCAATCTTCATATAAGAATGTGAAGAGTTCAGCTTGTAGTCCTATTATGTTTATATTTTGAGAAATAACAAATAAGAGATCTTTTATTCCTCCTGGATCTTACTCATTAAATATTAACTTGGATTTTGATTATTATTATTTAATTGAAATATAAAACTAGAAAGCAAACACAGATGTCAATATAAATTATTATTTAATTAAAGTTTATTGGGGTGACAATTGTTAGTAAAGTTACATAGGTTTCAGGTGTACAATTCTGTAATACAACATCTATGTATCACATTGTTCAATATAAATTTTTTAAAGCGTCTAAACAACAGTTAAAAAAAGAGAACAGGCTTTTGATATCTGTGAGGTCAGGAAATCCCATCCAGGTCACAGGTATCAGAACTCATTGTGTCCCAGTCCTTCTTCAATACACTCAGAACCCCTCAGTCAAATGGATTGCTCCCTCTACCACACACAAAAAAAGGAATTGTTCTTATTTTACACATAACTTTTAGGAAAAAGTTTTTGAGATTAATTAGCGATTAAGATCTTCAGTGCACATGTAAGTGACTTTTACTGATGGATAAGCATAAGACAAGAAACATCTGTGGAGTAGAGAAATAGCTATTGTAAATTTCTGTGATCAGGGCTTGTGTCCTTTACCTTTGCAAATCTGAAAGCAGTCACACAGGATCCACATGTTTGGCCAAAGACTTACGATTGCTCTGCAGGACTCAGGAGCATCAAGAGAAGACACACATGTGCTCCCCCTTGAGGCTGAATGACACACATGAGGAAACTGTCCTATGGCACTTTTAGCTCTAAATTGAAACATGTAGATGGATAAATATCCAGAAAGAACTAACATCCAGAAAAGTGAGGTATAGATGGTACTTTATAACATACACAAGACTGAAATCATATTGATATGAATTTTATTATGTAAATTTTTAAATTTCTGCAGAGAAAATTTACAACAATGTATATGGAAAAATACTTTCATGCATTAAGTCAAAATATTTATGAAATTATTTATCTTGATGCTTTAATTTTTTAGCTGTAAGTGCACAATTTCATCAACCTTAAAACACAAGGTTTGGAATACATGAAACAATTGTATAATAGGAAACAATATGAAACATTTCATGCATTTAGAAGTAGACAATCAGTAATATATTAAGAGGTAAACTTACCATTCTTAGTAATACTGGACCTTGTTGCCACCCCTTCTGCCCTAAGAAACACCTAAATAAGCTGCTTCTTACAGATAGAACGACTTGTCTTTCCACAGCCTTCACCATGTATATTTGCACTTGTGCTGTACATTATGCAGTTCTGTGTATTTATGTTTTTAGAGGATGAAACCCTGTAATGAAAAAAAACATTAACATGACAAAAGGAAAAGAGAATGTTCAGGGATGGTGTTTTTATTAAATGAGAGAACTTTTTAAAGCATTTCAATGAGATATTAACATTCTGAGTGAGCCATTGCATTTTTTTCATTCAATAGTCACAGTTTTCAAATATTACAAAAAGGATTTATTGCCTCAATAATCAATAGCTTTGAAATCAGGGGTAGTTTTTAGTTCTTGCCATTGTATTAATGGTTTTGATATATAATAAACTTTGCCTCTATTGTGTTTAATGATGTATTGATTTATTGTAGCCTAGGGGAAGAAGTCAAAGCATAAATTCTCATTGTATGGTGCTGCAAAGCACATGTTTATAAATGAATATGAGATTCTAAGATTATAAATATGCAGAAGCCCAGCATATTTGAAACATGAGGATGCTGAGAATATTGGGCTTTCCCAGAATGAAGAAAATAATGGCTATCCTGTTTTCCCGGGACAGCTCCTGTGTGTGAGAATCAGTACATGCACAGCACATCCAAGTGTGTGTACCAAGGAAGAAAGAAAAAGTCAAAAGCTCTTTTATGCTCACATGTGCACCAACTTCATGTCTCTTGACATAAACTTGGATGTTCTAGATGGAGCTAAAATTGTTACTGTCTTGTATCTATTCTCTTTTCTGTACTCTCAGGCTCCAGAGAGGCTATTTTAGCTACAGTATCCCAGTATGTTACATTCTTTGGTCAGGCCTAAGGATAAGTTCATAAAAAGACCTTGGGTGAGAGAAACTTACAGATGTGGGGAGAGGGGAGAGCCATCCTCCCACAACCAGGCACCGTGTTCTTCACTGTAAGACAGTCCAATCCAGAAAAGGAATGTAATGTGGTTTGTGAAACTCTGATGGGAAACAGAGACAAACATATTAACTTAATTTGAATCTACTCTGTGAATAATGTACTTTCCAGAAAGTCAGTGCCCAGCATCAGATCCAGACTTTAAATCACTTGAACTGAAATCTTTTTTTATGTCTAGTTTAGGAGGTGTAATCACATGTCTCATATTTTCTCTCTGTAATGCCCATTCATTTATGGAGACAAAATATCACAAAATCTTATCCTTGAACGAATGAAAAATTTTATAAAGGGGTTAAATTTTCACAGAACAATTCCTTCACAGATACCGACAATCAAATTTGATCCCAAATCACCAATATTTTATGGGATAAAATTCTTGGATATACCTACCTACTCAACCTACACTCAATATAGATTCTCCATGCACCTGGAGAATTCTTTCACTTTTTTCTTCTGAATTGGGTAATTATTATGATCATGCTCTTCATGTTCACTGCACATTACATGCAAGAATAATGAAGAAAGCTATATAATTACCAAGAGAATGTGAATTCAATTAATCTCTAAACGTTCAAAAAGTTGTTTGGTTGGTTATTTGAATAAAGATAATGACCTATTATTTCTTCTTTGATTTCTCTAAAATTTCTCTTGAACCTCTTCTGGCATCTACCTTGTTTTTATTCCTATAATATAAATATTTGAGAAATTTTATGTAGGTTTTATAATGAATGTTTTAAGGGATAAGAAATTGGTAAGTCATTATCAGTTCAAATATAACCATCCAGTTATGATCTGATTAGAGATTTCAAAGTATTCATCTTACTTAGTATATTTTTTCTAGGTCAAACAAAGTATAAGAAACCACAATTAAATACATACCAATTCATCTTTGTTTTGCAACTGAAGCAGACTGGAATTTTGAGAGGCACAGAAATCTCTGCTTTCTTTCCAAGTTTTTTTTTCATTGGAAATTAAGTAACAGTTGCATCGATACCCAATCCACTTTCCTTCACAAGAACAGGAGCCAGAGCCTAAGACAAAAAATAAAAGATGACTCATGACATTGGAGATTCAATTTTGTTGTTGTTGTTGTTGTTAAATAGTAAGTAAAATTGTATAGCTTTCAGTACACAATTCTATAATACATCATCTATATATTGCATTGTATGTTCACCACCCAGAGTCAGTTTTCTTTCCATTACTTTATATTTGTCCGTCTTACATTCTTCTATCATCCCCTTCCTCTTTCCCCTCTGGTAACCACTAAACCATTGTGGGTGTCTACAAGTTTTTGTTTGTTTTGTTTGTTTTGTTTTTGCTTTGAATTTTATATCCGACATATGAGAGAATCATATGGTTCTCAACTTTTTCTGTCTGACTTATTTTGATTGGCATCATAATTTCAAGATCCATTCATTGTGAGGCTCAATTTTTAATCTGTTATTCACTCATTCAAAAATCATGTGTTATTTATTTCTACAAATATTCTTTGGGAATGTACTACATACCCCACAGCTAAGAGGATATTTATATGACTGAGTCAAACTTGATGCTTTTTCCTCACAGAGATTATCACTTCCGATCATTTATTAATTATATTAATGTTAATTAGTGTAATCATGCACAAAAAAATTCATTATGTTAAAACAACCCTTAGAAGAGTGTAGGATGGGAGTGGTGGTGGTTAGAAGAATCTTTTCTTGAAGAAGAGACCCAAAGTTGAGCTCTGATGTGTAAATATGAATAAATCAGAGGAAAGAGATATCTAAAGAAGGTAAGCATTTCAACATATTTCCTGAGTCAGAAAAGAGTATGGAAACTTGGGAGAAAATTGATATACATTTTCAATATTTTATTTCCAAAATGAACATAAACAAAACAATTAGTTTGAAGTCCAGTCATACAGTTTACCAGTGATGGTGCCTTGAACATGTACTATTCTCAGTGATGGCTACTCACAGCTTTTACAAATGAACGGTGCTGAAGTTGAGGAGAGAATGGTGGTTACCAGTGTCTGGAGGGTGGGGGAAACGAAGACATGTTGGCCAAATGGTATAAATTTCCACTTAGAAGATTAAAAAGTTTTGAGGATCTGCTGTATAGCATTGTGGTTAGAATAACAATACTGTGTTATACACTTGTAAGTTGCTAAATAATAGATGTTAAATCTTTTCACACCATAAAAGAAATGGTAATTACTTGACATGATGGAGCTATTAGGTAGTGCTACCATAATAATCATATTGCAATATACAAGTATATCAAATGAACACAGTGTACACCTTAAACTTACACAATGTTATACATCAATTATACCTCAATGAAGCTACAAAAACACTAAGAGAACCACAAATATTAATAAATTCTATAGGATCACAAAAGATGGTAAGAAAACTTGTAGAACATTAGAAAATATTATGTTAAAAAAATTGGACTTTGTCCTGGCTTACACTGTATAAGCAAGGTCAGAATTGCAGAAATCTCTTATAAATGGGCAGGGACCTGAATAGACACTTCTCCCAAGAAGACATACAGCCAACAGATATCTGAAAAAATGCTCAACTTCACTAGCTATTAAGGAAATGCAAATCAAAACCGCAATGAGAGACCACCTCACCCCTGTTGGAATGGCTATTATCAACAAGACAAGTAATTACAAGAGTTGAAGAGGTTGTGGAGGAAAAAAAACCCTCATACAGTGTCGGTGGCAATGTAAATTGGTACAGACACTATTGAAAGCAGTATGAAGGTTCTGCAAAAATTAAGAATAGAATTACTATATGACCTAGCAATCCCTCTTCTGGGCTTCTGGGTATCTATCTACTCAAAAAATCTGAAAACATTTATCTGTAAAGATATACCTATGTAACTTTACTAGCAACTATCACCCAATAAACTTTAATATATATATATATATATATATATATATATATGGTTAACAACATCGTTGCAACAAGTTCGATATTCTGACAATGAAGTTCATGAACTTGTTGCAACTATGTTGTTAACCTCTTTTTGATATCAGAGGGATTACTCATTATGAATTTGTACCAACTGTACAAACAGTTAACCAAGTTTACTACTTGGAAGTTCTGAAAAGGCTGCATGAAAATCTTACATGAAAACAACCTGAACTTTTCACCAACAATTCATGGCTCTTGCATCACTACAATGCACCAGCTCACATGGCTCTGTCTGTGAGGGAGTTTTTAGCCATATTGGAACACCCCCCATACTCACCTGATCTGGCCCTCAATGACTTCTTTCTTAACCCAACAATAAAGGAAATATTGAAAGGAAGACATTTTGATGACATTCAGTATATCAAGGGTAATACGACAACAGCTCTGATGGGCATTCCAGAAAAAGAGTTCCAAAATTGCTTTGAAAGGTGGACTAGACGCTGGCATGTGTGCAGATCTTCTCAAGGGGAGTACTTTGAAGGTGACCATAGTGATATTCAGCAATGAGGTATGTAGTGCTTTTTCTAGAATGAGTTTGTGAACTTTATTGTCCTTACCTCATATGTACCTCTGTGTTCATTGCAGCTTTAATCATGGTGACCAAGATACGGAAACAACCCCAGTGTCCTTCAATAGATGATTGGATTAAGAAAACCTGGTATATATACACAATGGAATACTATTCTGCCATTAGCAAAGTTGAAACAGTGCCATTTGTGACAACATGAATAGATCTTGAGATTATGATGCCAAGTGAAATAAGTCAGACAAAGTCAAGAACCATATGACTTCACTCATATGTGAGATAGAAAACTGAAAACAACAAAGGAACAAGACAAACAAAGAAACAAAAACTCATAGAGACAGACAATAGTTTAGTGGTTACCAAAGGTACGGGGGGTGGGGTGGGGTGAGGTTAAAGAGGGTATAGGGGGCTTAATACATGTTGATGAAAGGAACTTTGACTTTGGGTGGTGAACACACAATGCAATATATAAATTATGTTTGTAGAATTGTATACTTGAAAGCTATAAAATTTTATTAACTAATGTCACCCAAATAAATTTAATTATAAAATGAATTAATTAATTGCAGAAATCTCTGAAGTATATTCTGAATTATGGAATAAATAAAAGGTAAATTATAAAGATATAGAAGTATGAGTTATGAGTAATCACAGGAGGGTAATTGGGATTAGCTGAAATATTTATTGTATTTATTTTTCATTTGTTTAAACATAAGTACTCATATAGGTAAAATATGTCATTTCAAGTTAATATTGTCATTATTAATTAAATAAATAAATGCAAATCAATGTAAATTAATAATTCTTACATTAGAGAACAATGAAATAAGACTATACTATAATTAGTGGTTAAATTTATATTAATATGTGTAATATTCCATTAATCTTCTGTGTGAAGAAAACAAGAAACTGTCTACTCATCTTGTACAAACATAAAGTTTTTCCAAAGTATGGAACCTACCTTCCTGGGGTTCTGTGGTTCCTCCTGGTGATGATGTTGGCTGAAAACTTTGTTCAGCAAATACTACAAGAAATGATTAGAAATTACTTAATTATATACAGATTTATGGGATAACAAATTATTACACACTAGTAGAATGAAACCTTTATTCTTAAATGTTTTCATCACAGTTTTGATTTTAATATAGACTTGCTTACAAAGACTTACAATTTTTCAACAATATCCCCAAAGCAGCCATCAACACAAGGCACGTTACTGCTAAGATCCCCGAAATCAACCTCCATGGAGTGGTCTGAAAAGCTGTAGAGAAAGAGAGGTAGGGTGATGACTTAAAGAGGAAACGCAGGAGGTGAAGTTCTTAAAAACAGAAGCCTGGAAGAGAGAATTGAAAAAGTTCCTTGGTTTGATAACCCAGTCATCTTGCCAATGCAAGATTGGAAAATGAAGACATTCCCTTCAGAAGTCCACCCAATAACAATAATTTTATGAGATATACTTTTGTTCTTCAGTGAGATTATCCATACCTTTTCTTCTTTACCAGCTCTGTCTCAGATAAATAGATTTAACATTTGTTTTTTAACTTGGCAAAGAAGCTTAGAATACTGGAGTAAGGAGGTATCAACAGGCACCAACTTCTGTTGTGTTGGCTCACATAACAGACATTTACCTTCATTTTCTTAACAAAAATCACAAGATAGTTGTATGAATCCTGTTTTATGTAGATGAGAAAATTTAGGATTCATTAATCACATTATTTTGTAAAAGTATCAAAGCTAGTAAATACCCAAGTCAGAAATGAAATGAATGTTTACCTAGGCCCAGAGTCCTTATTTAACATATTCTATCATCATCACAATAATTCTGCTTTGGAGTGTGTCCCCTGCTAATCCCAATGCATCCTCTGCTCTGAGAAAGTTCAGCTGCTCATGGCTTTGCAGAGGTTTTACAGGGAAGAGAAGACATGGGAGCATCTGCACCCAATGCAATGAGAAGGTCCCCAAGGAACGTGTGGGCACTTCCTTGGAGAGCTGGATTCATTTCACAGTCCATTCGATGTACATAGCAACCGTGTTTTACAAGAACATTACATTTTCTCATGCCCAAAGCTAGTTGTTTATACCCTTCCCCGTATAGCAATTTAATATTAGGAGATTCTGCATTAACATTAGCCCACTCCCAAAAGACTGTTGTCATTACTGCAGTCTCACGGGACAAACTGTTAGTCTGGGTGGTTTTGGGATGTAACAACTCAAACAGTAAATTTTAAAATAACACTTTTAAGCATTGCATCTCATATATTTGACATTCTGTCTTTATGCTAGAACTATGCTGCTCATAATTTAGATGAAAATTCAGTTCTCATTCAGAATTTAGAGCTTTCCCTGTCAGAAGCCCCTCTTCAAACCTATTAGAGAAGATTCACAAAATCATTTCTAAGTTACAGAATAAACAATCAAAGACAAATAAAATTAAGTGGAAAATCCTGATACACGAAAACCTAAAATTTTCTATCTTTTTTCTTCAAAGATGCCCTGAAATTAGCCACACCCATAAAATAAAATTTCTGCTAATTTTTATTTTTTATTTTAATGACTCGGGCTGACATACCTGCCATGAAAAATGTTGATCCAGTGTCGGTACTGGTAAGACACGATGCGTGCTTGTTCAAGAAGCACGTTGTTGGATGATGGAATTGAGCTGGAGGCTAGAAATCTGAAAGTTGTATATGTAGAAATTAAAAAAAAAAAGAAACAAAAAATTGTGTATTTAAGAAATGTTCACCAATCATCCATTGGTGAGACATGATGTATAGCACGATCAAGAAGCAGTAAAATCACTACCTTCTAAAATGTTGCAGAAACCACAACACAGGAAATTCTCAGTGCATATGTGTAATGTGAATTCTTTGACTATCAGAAAACAAGGTCAGAGAAAGGGTTGTTTTTTTGGTTTTTTTTTAATGTTTAAATATCAATCATCTTTTAAAAATATTTGGAAAATAGGAAAAAAAGATAGGTAAATCAAAGGTAAATTAACTTAGTGTAATAAAGTTCCACCAAGTATTTTCCTCTTCTAATAATGAGAAACATTTGTAATTCACCTTGTGCTAGACACAGATTAAAGCACTTGACATGTGTTAGCTCACTTATTTCTGAAAATGCCTTAATAATAAAGATACATAAATATACCCATTTTAATGATGAGAAAACTAAGACAGAACTACGTCCTTGACTAAAGTCAACAACTTTGAATCCCAAGCAGTCTTTCTCCAGAGCACATATTCAAAATATTGCAAATCAAGATTATCTCTGTGTGTCTGTGTGCTTTCTTGATTTTTATTTTTTTGTTTAGCAGAGATTGGTTGGTATTTCCATCTTTCATTTATGTGCTTATGACACTGCCTCATTAACCCAGCATGAAATGCGAAGATCAAAAAGGAATAATCAGAGTGACTTTTTCATTACTGTTGCATGTACACACACACACACACACACACACACACACACACACACACCTGTGCTCAATGACTGCTGAAGCTGTTCTAGGCCCTTCAGTGCCTCATTCACAGGAGCCTTAATGCTTCTTTCAACATGTGACTCTCCACTGCTCTGGTCCCTTCAAGTCCTTTGGACATGACTACAGCTGTCCTTTTATCTTATTTGTACTAATATTTTAAGTAATATGGTTTTTTACTGTGTTATCTCATTCAGATAGTATACTGACAGTTGAATTTACAAGCTTTTTGTCCTCAGAAGAATAACCTTACCAGGGGGAAGATTCAAATGTAGGACAGATGGGCAGAGGAAGAATCTTGAATGTGGAGACCCTGATCTATCATTAAGTATCTGGAAATAAAATCTACCATTGCCCCATAGGAACCAGACTCCCAAATAGTTTTTTGGTTGTTTTTTTTTTAATCTGTGTAAGGTCAGACGTGTGAGTGCCTAGACCTGACCTCCAACTCCTATAGTAATGGAAATGTTTACCCTTCACTGTCCCAGGACTCCTAAGGCTGGAACGGCTCCACAAGAGTGACTGCATGTGCTGTGTCACAAGACCTTACTGAGGGTATGACGGGCACACGGGGGAGCTGAGAGGACCCTTGGTTCAGGCAGTGGTCTATCTCACAGGTACATTTATTTATTCATGCTATGAAGGAAAGGGCACTCTATAAGAATACAGCGATGTCCACGGTCCCTCTAACAGAGCTTGCCGAAATTTACAGCCGGTCTGACATTCCATCTGATGAGCGCTCCAGGTAGGACTGGTTAGTGATAGCCATGGGCAGGGCAGGTGCAGCACTCGAAGCTTTCAAAGCTTTACTTCTTTTGTCATCACTCCTGATTTTGTAAGCAATGAAGTCCATCAGCCTCATTCTTACCCAGGTCTCCTGGTAAACCTGGTTGTAGAAGGACTTCATGGGAACCCAAACATTTTTAACGAGGCTTTGACGCATCTTGTGGTAGGACCAATGGCTCAGGCAGTAGCAACCCGCGGTCAACATCTCGGGGAGGTCACCGAGTGTGCAGGTGCTGCACGGGATCTGCCGAGAGCCAAAAAAGTGTTTTTGTTTGTTTATATTATTTATGTTTAAATATTATAGTATTTTCATAAGTGAATCTTTTTTGTAAAATTTAGGATTTTCAACCCAAAAAAAGAAAGAAACAAACAAACAAGGACTGTTATTTGATTTCTCAGTTTCCATGAAGTTAAAATTTTATCCTTCTAATTTGCATTGTGTAAATAGAGCTGCATTGACTGAACCACCAAAATCAATAAAATTTAAGTAAGTGCTTCCCTAATAATGTAAACAAGAAAATTTTTCATCCACATTTTATGTAAATCAAAGTTGAAAGAGGTAATATATAAATGATCCTTTTCTCACTTGAAGTGTATTTTTTAGTTTTTTTGTTTGTTTGTTTTTGTTGTGTTTTTTTTTAACTGCGGAATTGGGGGGATGGGAACAGCGCTGGGGAATTGGGGGAAGGGGAACAGACAAGTTGCTGTTGTTTTGTTCTTCAGTCTAGTTGTGGAGGACGTTGCTTCACTGGCCCAAGTTGGCACCATCATTGCGCTCTTCCCGGGCGAGGCAGATCAGTCGCCGGCTTCTGGACGGCCGCTCACTGCGGCTGCTGGCCACTCATGCTGGCTGCTGGCTACATACAGTAGCCCATGGCAACACACTGCCACAGGGGCTGCAGCCCACCCCGTCACCAGCGACTCACGGCAGCCCAGCTCCAGGTTGAGCTGTTGTTCAGCATCTTAGCTGTGGAGGGCAGTGTCACTGGCCCTCATAGGTGGGATCTGAACTGGGGCCTCTGGCGTCCCAAGCCAGTTCGTAACCATCGCGCCACTCGGCCGGCCCCCTTTTTTAGTTTTAATGTTAGACAAAGCTGAACTAGCAAAAACTGCCTAATTTTTCTCATTTTTACAACATGTAACATCACTGTAACTAAATAGGAGTTTAAGATTTTGCTTTCAGTTTTGTTTTGAAATTATACTATTTTGTGACAGAAAATATAGTAAGGGTCATTACTACACTTTCAACAGTAATAGGACCACCTTCATTTGGAAGTTATTCTAAGCTTTCAGAACCATATTTGATGAGACTTAATTCACGAATTGTCTTTTTTTTCATCTTAGTTCACTGACTCAGAAACAAAATCCATCAAAGATGTGTTCAATTCAAAAACTCTAGACAGAAGTCACAAAGAAGATAACTGAACAAAAATATACACATCACACAAAATATATATATATATATATATATATATATATATATGCCCCTCTTTAATTCTTTCTGAACTGGGAACCATGATTGATTGCGTGATTCCTTTTTATAAACAGACCTATGAGTTGTTGTTTTGCCCGCGTCCCTCTGTTATCTACCCTTGGAGCAGAGGTTGGCATTGCTCCACTTCCATCCCTCAAGATACTTGGTGAAGTCTGCCCAGCAGTATCTGCAACTCTGTATTTAGTTTTGTCTGGTTTTTATATTTATAAATTTGGAACAAAATAATGTAAAATCTTTTGTGTCTTACTTATTTTCTTCAATTTCTTGTGATAGTCATCCAAGAACTCATGTCCATCTTATTGATGATGACTAAGCTACACGTAAAGAACTGTGGCTGGTGAATAAGACCCACTGATAGATTGAAATCAGTTGGGATCCAATTTCAATACTGGAGTAGGGTCAACTTTACTGAAAATAAAATGGGTCATAATGATTCTATAAAGGAAATTTCAAGGCATGGAATTTTTGGAAGTGGCTGACTTCTTTCAATAAGGTTTTGTGGGGGGTTTCTTTGGGGGGTTGTTTTTTGGCTTGTTTTTTTTTTTCTTAAGATAGATCTTTATGATGAGCCTACAATGAAGTTCAACACTTAGCAACCTAAAAGACAAAACACTTACTGGGGCAGTCGGTTAGCTCAGTTGGTTAGAGCGCAGACTCATAACACCAAGGTTGCCGGTTCAATCCCCACATGGGCCACTGAGTTACGCCCTCCACAGCTAGATTTAAAACAACTACTTGACTTGGAGATGATGGGTCCTGGAAAAGCACACTGTTCCCCAATAAAAAATTTAAAAAATGACTAAACACTATATCACAAGATTTCTGATGGGTTAGAAATCCTTGAACAACTTAACAGGATGTATATGACTCAGGTTCTCTCATGAGGTTGCTGTAATGATGTGGACTGGGGGTGGGGGTGTTGTCATCTGAAAGCTTGACTAGGGCTGGAAAGTCAGCTTTCAAGTGAGGCTCATTACATAGGTGTTGAAAATACACTTTATTTCCTTGATAGCTGTTCATAAAAGGCTTCAGTTCCTTGTCACATGGTCCTTTCAACAAGCTTACTCTTGATAAGATAGTTGGCTTCCCTCAAATCAAGTGATCCAATGGCAGAGAAGAGGAAGAAGCCACACTGTCCTTTAGGATCTAGAATCAGAAGTGGCATGCTTTCACTTTCACTGTATTTCACTGTTCACACAGATCAACCCTGGTACAATGTGGAAGGGAATCATGCAATGGCATGTGCACCAGAAAGTGGGGACCATGGTAGGCATCTTGCAGATTGGCTATAACACCTGCTTTATGGATTTTCACCTTTTATAGTGAGCACAGACTGACAAGCCACAAGTGTTTTTAGTTACTGAAAAAGTATAAGTAAATTTACAACTGTTGTGATGTAAGCCAAAAAAGGATAAGCCAAGTGGAGAGTAGGGTTGGTGCCTCCATAGTCTCATTATACACACTTTGACAGGGGCTGGCAAACTATGGCCTGTGGACCAAAATTGTCCCAACATCTATTTTTGTAGATAAAGTTTCCTTGTAACATAGCTAAACCATTCATTTACATATTTTCCATGTCTTCTTTTGCACTACACTGGCAAAGTTGAGTAGTTTCAACAGAGACTGGCCCATATTTACTATCTCGTTCTTTAGAGTGTTTTTCAACCCAAGCACTAGGATGTAAAGTGAAAACATTCAAAAGGTCCAAAATTATGGAAATAAAAAAGGGGGATTACATGTTCCAAATATTTTCAGGTTTACTTAATTTAAAGATATCATAAGACTCCAAGGAGCATACTCATATGATGCTTGTAATAATGGCAAATAATATGATACTGCAGGAAAAAGAATTCAAATAAGGGTTGGGGGGGTAAACCAAGAAATATCCAGGAATATGCTTCCCAATTTTCTTCATATTTGTACAAAGACCTGATTCTTCTCTGGATGAAACTGCTGATATTTGCACTGATATTTGCACTGATGAATCTTGGTTTCAGAAGAGCTGAGGCAGAA